GTTCAGAAGAGGTGGTGGTGGCAGAGAACAGCCCCAATTCCAGGCCAGGGGGCAAGTGGCAGTGCTCAAGGCAGGAAAGAGGCAGGACAGGTCCTGTCCTGTTTAGGGCATGAGCAAGGCAGAGAGAAAGCTTCAGCACATTGTATCGGCCCATGCCACCTTCTTGCATGGGCCTGTGAAAATGGCCAGTGATTGAAAATGTTACAGATGGAGTTGACAGAAGACACCAAGTACAAAGAGTGACAAAGTCTCAAGGGCTAGGATGCATGGCAAAGCCAGTGTGATCTGTAGCCTTGGGGACACTCAGAGTCCTCCAGCTTACCACAAGGCTTTCGTCAGCAGAAGGTAGGCTAGGGGAATCTGCCAGAGCCAGCTTACCACCCACCCACCTCTGCCCCTGGGTCTACGGGGGGCAAATTCTGCACCACAAACCATTGCCTCCTTCCTCCAAAGCCATCTTGCGATTCCTTTTTTCACATCCAGTGAACTCAGACACACTGATACACACCCATTGCCACCATCATAAAAAAACACTCCTGGCCTCTGTTTCTCTCCAAGTATCCCATTCATTCCCAAGCCCAGGGCAATAGGTACAAATTTGAAAAGTCCTAATTTCAGTACACTACTACTAAGGTGTAGGGTACACTGAAGTGTGAGTGCGGTGTCCTTTGGCTCACCTGCCAAGTACCTAGGGGATGACTTGGAAAGAACTGTTCCCCTCCCCCCGACTTTTCTGCCTTACTTAATGCGGGACTTTTTGTTGGCAAAGCCACCATGTATTCCTTCTCACGCCCCCTCCTCCACAGGCTCCCTGCTTCATCCCTAAGTTTCAGGGTTGAGTCTCCTCTCCCCATGCTTACAAAACCCTGGGCAGGTTGGGTAGCTGGGGTGATGCTATCTGGGCCAACCTTATCTAGCTACAAAATATGAATCAGTGATTACACCACCCGGGGCTGGTGCCAGCCAGGCGGACTGCCATATTGCCAAGTAACCCAGTGGTTGGACCAGGTTGGGTTGAGTAACAGCCACCAATGGAGAGTGAGTTTGTTAATCACGCAGCTGTAGTAGGCTGTTGACGAGTCTACTTCTGGAGGCCTGGTCTGATTGGAGAAGGCACAGGTGGGGCTGGGTACTAACCATGAAGACACCCAGTGATGCTATCTTCCCTGATAATATTCCACTTGAAAACACAGAAGACACCTGGAAGGAAACATCCAGGCAGGTTGGCAAGGAGACGGATGACCCGCCAGCCACTGGGGTTCTCCCACCATCTTGGACTCCCTGTTTAAACAAAGAAGGCTGCTTTGCTGTGGCTCCATTAAAAGCTGTCATTTGGGCATTTGTAGTTCCATGTGGTGAGCCGAAGGCAGTCAAGATGGCAGCCAGCACTCTCCTATTGTGTGGGAGCACACACACACACACACACACACACACACACACACAACACACACACATTCTCCTCACTTCTCCCCCTTCAAAAGTGTTCTTTTCCAAGGCCATTGCCCACCTTCCCATCTGACTCTGGCCTGGGCTTCTCAGTAACCACAATCCATATGACTACCCCCACCTCCCCACCCTCTCTCCATGGTGTTCATGGTGGGCAAGCCCTGGGGTAGCAAGGATAATTTCTGAACATGACCCAAAGTTGTTATAACTTTGTGACCGGCCTGGTCAAAACACCCATGGGGACTGAGGAATGTCACCTGCCAGCCCCCCACTTGGTGCCCTATTGCCCCAACTTGGGGCTCTCTCTGACCCACGTCCTGTTGCTCGGGGAGGCAGTTCACAGGCAAAACACATAACCAAGATGTCAAGATGGGGTTTCTCAATCATTCCTTACAGGGATGAGGAATTCTAAAGACTCCAGAGAATGAGGCCAGGGATGTGGGATGCAGTTGTTACTGCCAGCAATACAGGTACTCAAGAGAAATGGAGAAAACGTGAGGGCTAGTCAGTTGAGGTGGTATAGGATGGTGGAGTGTTCTGGGGTTAGGGCAAGGAGTGTGTCCACATGGAAAATAGAAATCACCCAATGTGACCCTTCTCCACGTGCTTCCCCTAGCGTCTTATGTCTTTTTCTTCCCTTCAGACACCAGAGCGCCTTGGGTTGTTCCAAAGATCCATCTTTCCCCCACTTCGGGCCAGGCAGTTAATGAGCGAGGCTGGGAAGACTCCTATCCAAGTGGGATTAGGGCCATAGAACTTGAAAACCCGACTCTTTTTCTCCCCTCCACCCCCAATTATCTGACCACAAAAGAGCTGCCAATCTTGTTGGTTATCTTGCCAATCTTAAAGAACCCCTGTCAAGTCTGCACCTGCTTTTTTTTTTTTTCCAGGCTTCAAAAGCTTTAGTTAAGAAAACTACTGTGCAAGGTTCTCCAGGAGCCTGTTTTTGGGGTTCCTGAAGACGGTCAGAGGAGCCCAGGTCACCAACCGGACAGCCCCTCCCTTCTTCACTCTCCCCACCCTTGTCCAAATACCCACTGGGAAACTAGGTTTCCCAAGACACCAGTTGCCTGCCCCGACACCCACGAGTTTACCTAACCCGTTCCCTTCATCCTTCTGGCGGTTTCAAGCCCCACAAGGGGTGAAGGTGACTCTGCCTGTCTTTGGACTAGACAAAGAAATACTGCAAGACAGATCTGCCATGCCATACAACCCACACACAATGGTGACCGGGATCCCAGCATCACCAGCTTCCATGCTTCCACTCATTTTACAGAGCAAGAACGGCTAAAGCAAAGCAGAACAACCTATCCAACAGAGCACCGATAACAAAAGGAAGCAAAAAAAACCAGGCCAGACTTTATGCCATGAAAACGAGGAAGGATCAAAGAAGGAGAGTTGATAGTCCGGCTGATTGTCAGCAAACAGAATATATTTACTGTTTCGGCATTTGCTCACAGTGCAAATGGCACGACATTACACCATTTCAAGATTTCATTTTTAAAAATGCTGTTTCCAGGAACTATATCGGCATAACAATGTGACAAAAGAGCAAATGAAATGTTGGTGAAGAATTTCACCTTTTCACAATATCAAGCATAGTTTTTTTTTTTAACCTTAGTATAAGGTACTATAAATCCAAGAAATAAAAACATCCACAAAATATATTACATCTGGTTTGTCTTTTTCTAAGTACTCAACTTTATACAAAAGTCTTTCAAAAAATATCATTCCTCATAGGTTTTCCTGTTTAAAACCTGATTTTTTTTTTCTTTCAGTTCACATAAGTTAGAGTGCATTTTCTCTCATGGGTTTTTTTCTTTTTTTTTTTAAAACATGCAGACATATAAAAAAATCTGAATAGCACAACCTTTTGGCAACAAAGTTATTTTTCTCATAGTTTAGCTTAAATGTCTGAGAACAGTTTTATTAAAACAAAGGAAAACTCAGTCGTCATGCAGTGACATGCATATCCCGGAAGGAGCCAGGAAAAAAATATTAAAAGGAAATTTGATTCCTCCTTCCAGCTTTGAAGTCACCAAAAATTGATGTTTGGTAATAGTCATCACATTAGAAAAAGTAGTCAGCAAAATACTGTCTCTGCAATGAAAGACTTCACCTTTCTGCTGGAAAAAAAAAAAGGAAAAATAAACAGAAAAAAAAAAAAACCAAAACCACGGGCCCTCCTGGCAAACTTCATCTCCTTCACCCTTCTGTGAAAAAGTCCCAGTACCTGGAAACACACAACCCCTCCCTACTCTTTGATCTGCTCCCCTCTAGGCGCTAGCATCCTTTTGGTATTATTTGTCCACCCCTCCCAAAAAAGTGATTTTCCTTGCTTAAAAAAAAAAAAAGTGGGACACGCATAAAGTGACTTTAAAGACAGACATTCTGTAAACGCAGATTTTTGCTCCTCTCTGGGTGGTTTAGTGATCATAGGAGAGTCAGTAATACATTCAGTGGGAAATCTGCTAGGAGGCCACGGCAGGGGGTAGGGGGGCACCTTCCCTGCCACTCCCCTTCCAAACAGCCACCCTGGGCAGGCAGCCGGGAAGGGGAGGGTACCCGAGAAGGCACAAGGAGGTAGGGCAGGGAGAAGGCCTAACACCAGCCTGGGACAGATACACCTCATTCCTCAACCTGGGTGATTGCAAACAAATAATACAAATTAAAAAAAAAAAAATACTCCCTGTCCCTAGGAGGGACACTTGGAGATCGAGGTGCGTTTATAATATTCCCCCAAACACGTGTAGCTCTCAGCTCAGCAGTTCCAAGTCTCCTAAGAAAGAAACCCTTTAAAGCTGTAGACGCCTACAGTGCACTGCACCGGACGCCCAAGTACCTTAGAGATTTCATTTTTGCTGGGAATTATCCAGACCGTGTGCTATCCACACACACACACACACACACACAAACACACATATCCATGCGCGTGTGCACACGCACGCACGCACGCCCCACAGACTTAACTTCTACCTGTGGTGTCGGCGATGACCCAGGAAGTACCAAGAGAGCTTCTCCTTCCTCATGATTGGCGGGAAGGATAAATGGACCTGCATGCTTAGGTGCGGCCTGCGAGGGAAAGCGCACGGAAAACCAGAGTCTCCGAAGCGGCGGCCGCGGCCTTCAAGACCTGATGGCAAACCCATCTCCTCCAGCCACGTGCAGGCCCCAACGCCTGGGACACTTGAGGTTGCAGAGCGAAGGAAGAGTTTAGGGTAGACACAGCTCAAGTTCAGCTCCAGAGTCTCACGCACACGTACGCACGCGCAACACACACGTCCCGCACCCACCCCCTTTCGCAGCACACACACACACACACACACACATGCGAGCACGCACACACCCCGCACGCGGCCGCGCGCGCGCGTGCGCCGGGTAACCTGCTCCGCGCTTTGGTGCGCTCCGTACTCCCTCACCCCACCCTGGCGGGTCGTCGAAGGGCGGGGCGGGGAAGGGGAAACGGAAGGAGACGCGGGGCAAACAGTGAGGTGCGAGGGTCGAGAGGGGTTCCCACCTTCAGTCCTTGGCATGGCCCCTTGGCCCCTGGATCGAGACGATCCGAACGGAACAAAGCGGGCTAGACGCCACCTTTCCGCCCCCGTGCCTTGGCTAAGGAGCCGCGAGGGGAGGCGAGGAGTGGCGCGGTACTGATGGCCAGGAAAAGACGGCTCTAGCCCCGGCCTCCGACCTCGCAGGTCGGTGTCAAAGGTTGGGGACTGGCGTGCGCGCACGCGCGTACACGTGTGTGTGGAGGAAGGGGGTGTCGAAGGGGAACCAGGGGCCGCACGTCCATGGAGCGGGCCAGGGCGCGGCCCCTGCGCCTGCGTGGTTGGCTTTCCCCGCTGCTTTTCAAGCGAACAGCCGGGAGGCACTGGAAGGGTTCAAGTGGGGATCCGGGGGCCCGAACCTCAGGCGCAGGTGGTGACCACAGGGGCCAGGGATACGGGGGGCGCCGCAGAGGCCGAGGGCGCCCCGCCTTTCTCCGCCTTCTTCTCTTTTTGCTTGAGGTGGATCTTGGCGTGGCGCTTGCGCTCGTCGCTGCGCGCAAACTTGCGCCCGCAGAACTCGCAGGCAAAGGGCTTCTCGCCCGTGTGCGTGCGGATGTGCGTGGTGAGGTGGTCGCTGCGACTGAAGCTCCTCATGCAGATCCGGCATTGGAAGGGCTTGTGGCCAGTGTGGATGCGCAGGTGCCGAGTCAGCTCGTCTGAGCGGCTGAAACGGCGGTCGCAGCCCTCGGCCGGGCAGGCGTGCGGCCGCTCGTGGAGCGGGGTCTTGCTCGGCCGGTTGGGGTACTTGCGGGGCCGGATGGGCTTGAGCGTGAGTGGTGGCTGCGGCAGGCTGCCGAAGCCCGGGTGGATCTGCTTGTCTTTGAATGCCTTGATGGTCTCCAAGGGAGTGATGGGGGGCGGGTTGACGCGGATGGGGTCCATGGCCTGGAAGGGCTTGTGCTCCGGAATGGAGCCCATGTCGTTGGGGTGGTGGTACAGGTTGTAGTCAGGAATCATAGGAAAGAGATTGCTGTCCAAAGCGGGCTTGGCCGACTGGTAATCCTGTGGGGAGTAGGCGAGCCCTGGGTTACCCTGGGGGTCGTGGAAAGATACTGGTTCCGAGTAGAGGTCGCCACAGTTGGAATAGGGGGGCAACGCCGGGTACATAGCCTCCACGTCTCCCTGCGGCGGCTGCACCAGGCTGGTTGTAGACGTCTGCGTGCTGAGCGCCCCCGAGGCTGGGGGCACCCCCAAGATGCCGGCGCTCATGAGGCTGATGATATTGTCCTGGCACCAGTTGGAAGGGGAGTCAAAGGCGAACTTTCCCAAGTAGGTCACGGTCTTGTTGCCGGGGGCTGGCTGGAAGGAGCTGGAGTAAGAGAGTTCGGGGTTGGGCTTCTCGTTGGCCAGACCGATGTCCATCACATTCTCTGCGGAGAGCAGGGAAGAGAAGGCGGGCGTGAGTGAGGCCGAGCCGGCTGCCGGCCGCAGCGCCCAGGTCCTGGCCCAGGTGCCGAGGGCGCGGCCGGGCGGAGTGCGCAGCGCATGGGGTCAGAGAAGAGCGCGCTGTGCCCCGGCGCAATGCGGGCGGCGCCGCACTCCCAAGCGCAACCTGGATACGGCACAAAATACTACGGATCGGGGTGTGGAACGGCTGCGGCACACACACGGCACACGCTGCGCACACACTCACGTACCACACACACAGAGAAACACACGCGCGCGCGCGCGCGCTCCGCAAGCATTGTTGTTCTTCCCGAGGTGGGGCGGGCAGGTAGCTGCAGCCACAGGTAGTTTCAGACCCGAAGCGCGCCGGGCTCTGGCTCTCCAGTGCGCACAACTCGGCCTCTCTCCACGGCCCCAGTCCGCGCGCCTTCTTCCCCGCCCCGGAGAGGCCGTCCCCTCCGCCCCCCACTATGCGTGCTGCGCTGGGGTCGCCAACCCCGAGCGCTCCGACGCTTTGTCCTCCGAGAGTAAAAGGGTACCGCCCGCCAAGGGAGCTTTCCCATATCCACCCCGCACCCCCACCTACCCCGCAAAGCCCCAGCCTCAGCCTCCTCTGAGCCTGAAGGAGATTTCAGCTCCTGCTGGAGGGGTGGTGTGTGTGTGTGTGTGTGCGTGTGTGTGTTGGGGGGGTGGGGAAAGCCCCGGCCCCAGCTAAAGAGAGAGGGCAGAGCGGCGAAAAACCGGCCCGCGCAAGCTCTCCGGGCCTCAGGATCACCCCCCAACTCCACCCCCGGGGACGACCCGCAGGTGGGCCTCCCCCTCCTTCTCTCCCCCGCCGCAGGCCCCACACCCCCACGGCTGTGCTGAACGCCCCGGAAAGGCAGCGTCGCAGTACCTCTCCCACCGCGGGGACTCCACGCCGCACATGGCTCCATCCCGGGTGGGAGGCTGAGGGAGTAAGGGGGAGGGGGGAGAGCGCGGGTGAAAAAAGACGCCCGGCTCCTCCCGGAAAAAGGGGCGACGGCACCACGCCTTGCACGCAGCCCCAGCGATCGTGCCCCCCGCGCGGGGAGGGAGAACCCGGAGCCACTCGAACCTCCCTCCCTCCCTGCCTTCCTTCTCTCCTCTGCCTCCCTCCGGTCGGCAGCTGCCCCCACCCGGGAGGACCGAAGCAGCTCCCGGTGGCGGTGGCGTCGCCAACCGAGTCTTCCCGATCGGAGAGGGTGGGAGGAGTGGGTGGGAAAAGCCGTTCGCCCCCTCCCCCGAAAATTCCCAGCGCGCTCCCCCACCTCTGCATCCATCCATCCATCCATCCGTGTGTCCGTCTCTCCAGCCAGCCCTGCAGCCCTCCGTCGTCAGCTCGCTCCTCGCTCGCTTGCTCGCGCGCTCCCTCCTGCTCCTCCTCCTCCTCCTCTTCCTCCCTGCCTACCCCGCCGCCTCCCCGCCGCCCTTACCTGTAGCCATCTGATTGTAATGGGCCACCGAGTCGCTGCTGCCGGAGAAGAGGTTGAGCGCGCTGGGGATCTCCTCGGGGTACAGATTGTCGGGCAGTTGGTTCAGCAAACTGCTCATGGTCACGGGCAGCTTCTCGGCGAGTTTGCCGGTCATAGCACTCCAGAGCCGCCGCAGCCGCCGCCGCCCGCTCCTAGCGCAGCTTCCAGGCCCGTGGCATCGGAGAGGCGATCGTGGTGCAGGGCAAAAGCATGCGGGAGGGAAAGTTCTGGGGGGAGGGGGTAGGGACTAGGGGAAGGGATGGGCCCAGGGAGGGGATCTTGGCTTTTTTGGGGGGGCAGTAAATTCTTTGTGGGGGGGCGGGAGAGCCTCAGTTGGTGCAGGCAGAGGCTGGTGGGTCCCCGGGGGTGGGGCGTGTGCGAGGGGTGGGGTAGGGGCTAGGCCTGGGGGGAGGCGATCTTGGCTTCAGGGGGTCGCACGCCGCCTCAGTACGGTCTCACAAACAGACGCGCGCCCTCGGCGCCCCCCCGCCCCACGATCCGCCGCCGCTGCCGCCGCTGCCTCTGCCGCCGCTGCCACCACCGCCACAGCCACCGCCACCAGCACCACCACCACCACCACCACCAGCCCCGCCGCTTCCTAGCAAGCTCACTGCTGCCCAAAAGCTCCCAGCCAGGGAACTCCAGCAGCCTATTTATCCGAGCCCCGGGAAAGCTCCGTGACGTAGCTGCCCATATATGGACAGCCAGAGCCCGGCGGAGGGGCGCGACGTCACAATGGAAGCTCCTCACAATGGAACATTAGAAAGCAGGAAGCGGGCCGCAGCCGGCGTGCAGCGCCCGTACCGCTCGCCGCTGCTCGGAAAGGAAGAAGTAGAAGAACAAATAAAAAACCAAAAAACCCTAAAAACAAAAACAGGGAGACGGAGAAGGAGCCGAGAAGAGAAGGGAGCAAGATGTGCGAGCAGAGTGGAGAGCGCGCCGCGGCTGAGCGCCGCGAGTATTGCGCGTAGCGCGCGGCGCGGAGTCCAAACCCGGCCTTCAAGTGGGTGCTTTGGCCTGGAGATTCTGCGCTCATTGGGGAGCGGGGTACGGAGGGAAAGGCGAGGGCTGTTTGCAAGTGACCTCTAACACCTCTCTACTCCCCACTATCCTAGTCTGATCCCGTTCGCAGATAGCCTGCTGGCTGCTTGGGGAACCGGAAAAGGCGCGCTCGGACCCTGTTCCCAGGAGCTCCCCCAGCCCCTCCGCATTCGGGACCCTTCCTACTCCAGACTGGGGAAAAAAGGAACTGGTCCCCAGAGACGAGGGGCTTCCAGAGTGTGGGTGCTTCTCGGTTCAGTGTCTGAAGAACTTTGGTAGGGACTTCATTCCTCTACATCGCCCACGACCATCTCCCCTCTCCTGGGCCTTGGATCCTGCGCTCACTCCCAGCTGAGTCCCCGGGCCGATGCAGGCTGTAGCCTCGTACGTCCCGGCTTGAGAATGTGCCATTTTGGCGTGCAGACTGAGTGAAGTTGGGGGCATGGAGAACACGTGTCGGGCACATCATCTCCTAACAGCTCCCAGGCAACCCCTCTGGCCACAGGATGGCAGGAGGACCCAGCGCGCCTGGACACAGTCGCTGTGTGCCATTGCCTGCGAAGGGTCCGTCCCGGAGTTGCAAGCGGGAGGACTCAGAACCCACAGTTTGCATGCACGCCATCGCGACAGCCTGCCCTGGTCCCGACCTATAGCACTCGCCCGCCACAGGGCAGTCCTTACTGCCATCTGCCCCGGAGCCCCGCAGTTAAGCGCGGCTTGTATACCGACCCGGGGCGCAGTCACCTCCCCGCGCGCCGCAACGGGTTCCGGGGGTGGCTGCGTTCCGCGAGGCCTGCTCTCTAAGCGCGCGGGCGCGGCTGGGCCGCTACAGAGGGGGAGGAAAGCTCGGGAGCTTGGGGCTGCCACCCGAATCACACTGGCCTGGCGGGGGAGGATTCCCTCATCGTGGCCGCGTGGGCGCGGTGAGTCCCGCGTTCCTCCCCTCTCCACCCCCCGCCGGCGAGTTGAAATTGCGGGGTTGGGGGAACGTGCATCCTTGGGGAGAGGGGAGAGTGGGAGTGTTGACAAGGAGGCAGAGCGGATCCCCGGGCCTAGCGCCGTGGGAGGGCCACGCAGGCCGGGGGACGCGTGGGAGGAACTCCCGAGCCGCACATCGTGCTGGGGTGGATGACAACCCCCGCTCCCTCCCCTCCTTTGCCACTCGCTTAGAGAGCCGGGGATGGGAGGACCGGCCTCCCCCGGATCTTCTCCAGTTCTCAGGAAAGAAGGGATTCCCGCCGCCCGCGAGCCCCGGTCCTCTCTCGCGCCAGGCTCCCCCACTCCTATCCCGGGGAGGCGCAACGCGCCCTCAGGCTCTTCTCCGCCCGCGCGGCGCGGGGAGGGAGCGCGCTGCAGCGGTCCCGGGCTCCGGCCGGAATCAGGGCATGCAGCGCCTTCCCGCCCCCGGCTGCGTCCCTGGGGGCGGAGGGGGGAGGGCGAGCGCCAGGTCGGGGGGCGTGGGCGGCGGTGTGAGCCGGGCTGGGTGCGGGAGGGGCCCCGGCGGCTGCAAGGGAGGGTCGCCGGGGCTGCGGGCCAAGCCGGGAAGAGCCATACAAGGAGCGGATCCGGTGACGCGCCGGCCGCGCCCCTTCTTCGGCTTGATTTGGCTGCAGATTCCGGTCTCCGGATTTGCATATTTTGGCATCCAGTGGAAAAGGAAAGAAGAACGGAACCCGCAGCCTTTAAAGGAGCCGCACAGACTGTAGCGTCACCCAGGGAGGCGGTCTGGGTGTATGTGTGTGTCTCTGTGTGTGTATGTGTGTGGCGGGGGGGGCGGGGGGAGCGTGAAACTTCAGCCAGCGGCTCCGGCCTGGGGCCTTGGAACCCAGCGGTAGTGCAGGGGCGGGGAGTGACGGAGACCCGTGCATGCTCAGCGGCGGGTCTCTGTCCTCCGGGCGCGCTTCCTGCTGCACGTGCATTTGCACGGTCTTGGGGTGTGTGTGCGTGTGCCGGTGGGTTCCTGTCTGGGGGGTCGAGTCGGGACCGAGGTCCATGGTATTGGGCTAGCCGTAGGGTCTCCCTGCCTTGCCCCACACCCAGCCTGACTGCAATGCTCGCGTCTCGCCGCGTGAGGCAGAGTTGGGCTCGAGGGGGTGGGAAGGAAGTGAGAGAGGCCTTAGGCTGCCAGCCCAACTCCGGAGGACCCCACCGTGCACCCATTTGCACCTGTCCTCAGGTGCACCTCTTCCTGTGGCATAGGGGGGTCAGCGCTGGGAAAGGCAGGGGCAATTGGAGCGTCCTCCAGTTTTCAGCACCCAAAAGACCACAAGACTCAGATCACTGCAGAATTGACCTCCCACCCCCAAAATCCTTTTGGCTGGCTGGGCTCGCTGCACCCAGGAACTGCACTCGTGGGGTGGAGGGGTGGGCCATGCGGTGGTGTCAGCCAGATTGGACAGGAGCCTTTCAGAGCTAAAATGCCTTACCCTTTCCTTCCTGCTATTTCTTTCCCTAGGATGGGTGTATTCAGTTTAGTATTCATCAAGGCTTCTGTTTTTAAACTTTAGATACACTGGCCCATTTCTTCAATAATCCCGATGTCCTCTTGCAGGGTCTCACACCGTGGTGGCAGGGGTCCCAACACCTGGGCTTTCCTCTGCTGTTTTCCGAGGTGCACTAATGGGGAGCTGGAACTCCAACCTGCACCCATAGGAGATGCTGGTCCCCACCCTGCGAGCTTAAGCCCTCATAGTCTGCTTCCTATTTAGGCTGCAGCCAGAGCAGGCATCTATTGTCCCCCTGGGTGAGGGTGGCAGCTGGGTACCAGGGTCCAGGAGAAACTCAAAGCACTCTGCCTTCTGCTTGCCTTTTCTTCATTTCCACCTCTAAATTTTTCTCCTTCCTTCCTTCCCTCCCTCCCTCCCTAGCAGAGGGGCCCAGTATGTTTATCTCGGGTTCATTGGCTTCATTGGCGGGCTCAGGTGAGACTGCCAGAGGCCTAATTACCTGAACTTGAAGTCCAGGACTTGTTGGGAAGCGAGTAGGCACTGGTTCAGGGCGTCCCGCCCTTGGAGCTGGTGAGAGGCAAGCTAGGCCCTGTGCCCTAGAGCCAAAACCGCCCGGGCCCTGCCTGTAACTTCCCTTGGTATCCAGCTGGCTTCATTCACTGCAGCTTGGGGGACAGCTTCTGTCTGAGTAGGGCAGGGGATCGGGGGAGCCAGTGCTGGGGTGTGTGTTTCAGCGAAGGACAAGGAAGGGGGAATGTGGCTCCTGAAACCCACTGCAGGGACAGACAAGGTCACATAGTCACCTCTGCCATCTGAACTTCGCCTCTCACCTAGTCTTCCTCTGCTGCCTTACAAGAAGCCCCTACTTGGCGGAGCCTGTGGCACTGGCCACGTAGAGCCTCAAGTTTATACACTAGGGAAGGTTCCCCTGGGAAGTAGCCTGTCTGGGCTATGGACCCGAGAACCAGAGACATTCTGGCTTCCTCCAGTCACACCAAGCACCAGTTTCTGGGACCCACCCTGGTGGAGTGTTCCTGGAAGGCCATTTTGGGGGGCCAGGGTGGGGGCATAGGGGAAGGAAGGGAGAGAGCGAGATCCTCCGTCCACTGCTTCACTCCACTCTCCCAACTGGCTCGATTTCCCTTGCCTCCCTCCCCAAGTTCCCTCCACCTCCCAAGTTTCCCTGCATTATTACTATAGTATAATTTTTCATAAACAGTCATATGTCCATCACTGCGGGCATGGATAACGGCAGAGTCCAGCATCCTATTGTCAAGATATAGTTAACAGTTTCCTTGGGAGTCCATCTTTGATCTGGAAGTAGAGATGCATACTGCATTGCATCCTCACATCTGGATATGCTAGTCCCCATTATACATCCCCTTCAATGAAAAGCCACAATACAAAATCAACAACAGGAGGAAAACCAGAAATTTACAATGCCATCAAGTTAAATAACCTGCTACTGGATATGATAAGTCTCCATTACACAATGACTGTATATCCCCTTAAATGAAAATCCACAAAACAAAACAAAATCAACAATAGGAAGACAAGAAGAAATTAAAAATACCATGAAGTTAAATAACATGCTACTGAATGACTAATGTGTCGCTGAAGAAATGAAAAAGAAAATCAAGAACCTTCTTGAAGAAAATCTGAAAGATTTACAGAGAGAAGGAGAGATACAGAGAGATCTTCTATCTGCTGGCCAGCCGGGATTCCAACTTTTGCCTATGTGGGATGTTGGCACTGCAGGTGGAAGATTGGCCAGTTGAGCAACCACACTGGCTCCCCACTGTTCTGAT